ATCTAACGGTACGGGCTGAATGGTTGAAACGGTCAGGGCAGAATGGTTGAACGAGCTTTAAGGCTTCGACGAACGATTTGCGCATGACTTTTGCGGATGTCCTGAAGACCTAGAGCCTTCACATCCCATTGCTTTTGAAATGGGCACGAGAAGGGGATTAGATTTACGACTGCAGAAGCCGTGGGTCACATTTGGACAGGATCAAACAACGAGCGTAGCAAACACTGCAACGTGCCATATCGTGTGCGGTGCTCAGTCTCACATCAAAATCCAAGGCTTCAAAACCGAACCGAAACGTGCCGCGCCTTCGGCGCCCTCTCCAGGGCTCCAGGAGTGCCGCGCACCTTGAAAGCGCTCCGTCTCCGGCGGCGGCAGCGGCCCCGCGCCCGCGCGCGCTCGTGCCGGCGCGCGGGGCGCCGAAGCGCTGTGGGAGGCGCTGATGGCTCCAGCACCACCAGCATAGGGTCGCCGGGGCAGGGCGCGGTGGCCGCGGGCGTCCTGGAGGTGAGCTAATTACATGGCACCTAGGAGTGAGGAAGGTGAAATTCATTGGTGAGATCATCGCCATGCAGAATTCAGGAACCGTCAGGATTAGCTATATACTCAGCCAATGGACGGCAATGTAAAAAGGCCTTGGAAACCTGGGAGTTTATCTGGCAGGGGCCACTCACTGAATGTGACTTCCCAGTCCACACACCAGCAGGGAGTCTTGAGCCATTGGGAGACTCTGAGGGAGATCACGTCTGCCTGGCCTCACTACAGGAATTCTGACCCTAAGGGGCTATCAAGAAAGGGGGCTGTGGGATATTGGAGATTGAACATCTCACTGCTTTTCTCATTCTTCTCCATGGCCAAACCTCCTAACACGCACCACGCGCGGCGTGGTATGCTCTTGATGCTCGGTGGTGAGCAGTTGCTCGCGCTCCTCCCGCACCCAGCACTCTTGGACGATCTCCAAGCCTTGGCCCATGAGACCTGGCGAGGGGGGAGCAAATGCAAATGCACCTCCCAACTTGCGAAAGCCCTTGGTTTGGATAAGGAATGGGCATCGAGCCATCTGCGATTTGAAACATGTTCCAAGACCTAGTCACCAGTCAGCAACAGAAGCAACCTCTAAGAATATGTCAGATTCTTGCAGTCTGACATTAAATGGGGGAGAGAGACAAATAAGCGATTGGAAACCACACAAAGCTTCAGGTCAGTGCTGAAGAAGTTATCCTGCATGACCAAGCATCAAACACACATGCCCTCAAGATCCGCCTGTGTGGGCCATTTCTCACCTAAAGAGTGCACTTCTTTCAGCCACTTTGTTCACTTCCTTGAGCCCGTTGTCACACTTTTTTTTGCAATTCCTGATGGTAAGATGTTGCGACATGACCAAGTAGACCGTGTCGCGTGTCCCTGCACATCTGATGCAACTATGAATATGTAACATGTATGACTATGTCCGTACTATACTATTTAGAGGACATGCAAGTGGCTAAAAAGGATGTCCAAGCAGCGAAATTGCTTTGGACAAATGGTCTTAGTTCCTCATCCCAAGTCCATGACCTCGTTAGAACTTGTTCATTGACTTGCACTTCGGACGGAACCTTGACATGTCAAACGTGACGAGGCTCAAGAGCGTGTCTGTCAGATCCCTCTCGAGGGTGGAAAAGCAACACCTTTTCCAGGCTGTTGGCGGCTTAAGCAGGGACCATCCTGATATCCTGATAGAAACCCATGAAGCTGGCCAGCACACGCAGCCCCCAGAAAACCCCCATGACTGATTTGGCCGGGAACCCTTCGCTACTGGCCAGAGCTGATGGAATGGGGGGGTTGTGGCCACTCAGTAGGGACCCAATCCACCTCCCACGCCTTGCGGAAAAAAAAGCCGCCCGGCCCTCGCGCCCAGCACTTGACCCGGCTGCCCCAGCTTTACATCGTGGAGCTGTGAGCCCAAGTGGCTAACAAGTGACCCACACGCGTGCGACCCCAAAAAACAAGCCAAGAGGAAGGAAGTTGGGGTGATGATTTTGACTTGGACCATTCGATGTACATCTTTATCAAAACCCAAAGGTCCAGGACCATCCTGATGTCCTGCCAGACCCCCAGACCCCCCGGCAACGATCATTCGACCTGGTTTCGTACGAACTCACCTCCGTTCGGCCATCCGAAAAGGAGCTACCTGGACCCGGGAAAAGCATGGAAAAGCATGCCCTTCAGATCTGCAATGCATGGACCCTGAAGAACCATGTGAGCACGCTTCAGGGTCCACACACAGCCATTGACAGGGAAACCATGTGCAGAAATGCATGGACCCTGAAAAGATATCTTTTCTGCACTGAAGAACCATGTGAGCACAGAGGGCACAGTGAAGCCACGTCCTGGGCCCCATCACGTTGAAGCTCGGCTGCCTTAGCGGGTCCAGTGCCGCTCAAGAACTGGTGCAGTGCCCCCACATCCATCTGGCACAACCCGGAGAAGTCAACCAAATGCTCACAAGCTTGATTCGAAAGCAGTCCGGCTGGTTGCGTGTAGGACACGTTCTGGTTGCATTTAAAATTGCAGGATCATCCTTTCAGAATCTCATCTTTACAAGATTGTATCATCCAGAAACCAGATTGTATCGATGCTTGGCCAAGCAATGGGCAGACCTTGTTGTTTCTTTGATCCCTATAGGGCTCCTGGCCCACCTTCTCCTGAGGAGATGCTTGGGGTGGGCGGGTGCGTGCTTTATGGGGGGTCGAATACCACCTTCTCCTCAGAAGATGGGACAGGGGGGTCTGTGCCCACCTTCGCCCGAGGAGATGGGATGGCATTCTCCTTAGCCCTAAGGTTATGAGAATCTTACAGCCACAGACTGGGGGTGGTTTCCATTGCCTGGCTGGCAAAGATAGACTTAACCCTAAGGGATTGCAGGCCAAGCAACAAGGTCTGTCCAGCTTGTATCGCCTGGCGCCGGTCGATCGACTGGGGCCGATCCAGCCTGGAGGGAACGTGTGGCCGCCGCACGAGGACGCGTCCGGCAGTGCCGGAAGTCAACATCTAAAGCCTCAGCCGCACTAAAGTGTTCTAACTGCCCTACTAACTGGATTGAAGCACCTTATGCCCTCCTAGCGTGTGGGATCTAAGTACTTTTAAATGTCTGACCTCTTCGAACATGTCTTCTTCCGAAGCCTCCTAAGCTCAAGACTGACCACCGAGGTTTGGAAGCTGCAATTTGCGAGGCAAGTAGGTTGCAAAGGCAACTTCAATCAATCGATGCTAAGTGTATTCTGATCAAACCAAGCCACTGTGTTCTTGCTTCCATGTAACACAAGAACCTCCCCCCAAACCCATCCTTCTTTTGAAATTCAATCCCCAGATCGAATGGGAAATTCAGGTCCAGACATGCTGTGTGCTGTTTTATGAGTGTGTTGCCTTGTAAAGCGCTTCAGGGAAACCGGTCCCATACTCGCCATCGCTGGCAGCACCCTGACCCCCCTGACCTCCCCCCTGACGCGCCTGTGGAGGCCGCACAGGCGCCTTGCGGAAAGATCAGGAACGAGGGGGGTTTAGAGAGTGAGGTCTGGGCATGGGGAAGGACCAGGGGAGGAACCTAGGCACATACTGATACTCCGTATCTTAAGTAATAGATAAATAAACACACCATGCTTTATTGGAAAGCACACACATGAATCCGTAGTATGCTGAAAATACAAGCTCATATGTCATTTCACAGAATAGATTTGCAATGGATTGCACTTCATGTAGAAAAATCACACATCTGATATCACCTGCATTCAGGCCGGAGCTGTGTCCAAGTCAATGCAAGCCTGCACCTGTGCTGTATGTGAAAGAACTAGACTATGCGACTATGCCAGCACACATCCCCCGACAGGTCTCTTCTAAAGGAGCTTGTGCCAGGACCTTGTGACCTTTTGAGATCCCAGTGTCTGAGGTCACTTAGTCATAGTCCCTGAAGAGGTCACAAAGAAAGACTGCAAAGAGATCACTTTGAAAGTCCTGAGTCCTGGTGGATCACCAGGACTGAATGACCCACCAATGTCACCAGGATCTTGAGATCCTCATGGTGGACCAATTCGTGGAGTCCTGGTTGACTCCACTGAGCTCCTCTCCCACCCATGTCACCCTCGAGCTCATCCCATGTCGCGCGTCCCTTCGCCTTGGCCATGGCGAAGGAGGTCCACGTCTCTCGGTCCCTCGCAAAACGGCGAGGAGCAGAAGACGCCAGCGCCGATCACCTCGGATCCCGGGTTGAGACTGCAGCTCATGTAGGCCCATTGGTTATGTTTCACCCCCCTCAAATGAAGAGGTTTTAAGGTTGTACAATTCCAAACGGGAAGTTGTATTTTTGGTTTTAACTAATCGCTACATGCCATTTGTCAGTAGTCCTCCAACTCCCGAATTCAATCGGTGATGCAAGACATTCCACTCAGCTCCCTGCATGCCGCGCGCGGCAACGCAAAGCAGCGCAGCTCAAGAGCCAAATCCGCCCCTTCGGCGGCTCGAGGCTTGAGCCCTTGATCTTCAAAGAAGTATCTCTTGGATTTGCACAAGGAACCGGGAAGAATCAAATGCACAGCTAAAATATGTCAAATTCATTTTTACTTAACAGCCCAAAACTTGGGCCCAAACACGCGACGGAGACTTCCAACACCCAAAGCAAGGCAAACTCCGGCAGCTGTGGCTACCTTATGTGATCTTCCCTGGAGGGGAATCACCTAAAGCAAGCCCTTTTGAAATCATCACAGGCGCGGCTGTGCGGCCAGTGTCACTGGCAAGCTAGCTTTGCAGCGCGCACGTCCGTTCAGGCGGCTGGAAAAGCGGTCCCTCTATTGCACGAGGCGGTCCTTTAAACTTTAGAGGCGTACGTATACTGCGTCTACTTTAATTGGCCATCCAAATGGGCGACCTACAGCATATCAAATCATCCAACTTCAAAAAAAGAAGCTGACTTGTATGGTCAACTTGCACTCCACCCCCACAAAACAATACCTTTATATGCCTACTTCACATATGCCTGGCGTGAAGGAGACCCCACCTCCAGCTGCGTTCGTGAAACGCTCAGTCGTTGCCTTGACCCGTGACCGGATCCTCAGAATTGGGCCACGTGGATCTCCATCTCTGGGGGGTTGGAAGGTGTTGGAACATGTTACATCTCCCTATTAGATCACCCCAAGAGGTCTGGAGCTAGGTCTGGAGCTCTCCAGCTGCTTGAAGGGGGGTCCCAAAGCCGGGCCATTTCCGGACCCAATTTCAGAAACATACAAGAGCACTCATCCCATCTAACCCTATCCCTGTACCAGCGTCGAGAGTCGAGAAGGTTGTTGGAGGGCGAGGTGTCCGTCACTAAAGCATCAGTCCGTCACTCAAATCCTGCGGTCCAGCAAATCCGGTGGTTTTCTGGGCACCTCTGCTAGCAGGAAACAGCTTCCTCTCAAACACAAGAAGTGAAGAAACTCTTCTTCCAGGAGTCACGGAGCTCGTGGGTGGTGTGGTGTGGCTCGTCCCCTCCGTTGAGTTGGATGTTCTGAACACTCTGAACCTCCATGGATAGCACCCCGACATGTGACTGCTGGTTTACATGTTGGTGCCAGTCTCTTATTTACAACTGTTATTTGCAAGCAGCACACCAGTGACAGTATGGGCATGCGCAAAGTCATGTGACTGTGGACTTCTGACAAGGCGGAGTCAACCCCCACATCTTCCTCAAGCCCATGTAATCTCTCGGAATCTGAACCACTCCATGTAGGCGTACATTGACCTCTTCAACTGTTCAACCATTCCCATTTTATTGAATATAAGGATCCATGATGTAATCTCTGTGTATCATATCACTGGGGCGGTTCCCATTCTCATGTCCGCCTTCCCCACACGGCCCTCCCGTGCGCCCTGGTGGCCCTCCCCTTGGCCCAGCCACGTACAGTCGACCTGGCGTGGCCGAAGAGCGGTGACGACTCGAGCCAAGCGAGCCCTTCTCGGTGCAGATCACGTTGGGCGGTGCGGGAACCGGAGGAAATGCCCCAAGGACTGCCCCAAGGTGACCGGATCCGGCCGGGAAAAAGCAAAGCAAAGTTAAGCAAGAACTTGAAGATAGCAAACTCTCCCAATCCCAATCCCGGACTAGACCATTAGGTCTAAAACATATGGACATGCAGAAAACAGGCCTGTGATGGTCTAGGAGACCTCAAACCAAACAATCGAAGTCTCAGCACTACTACTCCGGACCATGCAACTAGCACCAAGAATTAATATCTCCATGACATCCCCCGTGACCACTCCTACCTGAAGCTTCTGAAGTACCTTCGATACATGGACACGACCCTAATGACATCAGGTATGTTCAGGTAATGATAGACTCCCTCTTTCTTCCAACTCCCAACAGTTCTTCCTTGGTACCCAGTCTCCCAACTGCCCAACCCAACAACTCCAAACCAACCGCCCAAGCTCGCCGCTCCAAGCCCACCGCTCCCCGTCCCAAGAGAACCGCACGGGCCGGGCAAAGCCGGCCTTGATAGGGATCGATGGCCAAGCCTGGAAGGTCGTGAAGGTTGTTTGAAAGCGCCGTGGTTTCCGCAGGTGGTTCGACAGCGAGGTGGACCCATGGAGCGATCCACTGCCACCGTACCTCAGGTATGGTATGACTGGGCCCGACCCGGGCGCCTACATAAATAGTCTCCGTCCTCACCGTACCTGAGAAGGTATGTGGATCCCTAGGGGGAGGAACAGGTGCAAATTTCTGGTGAGGATCCTTTTTGGGGATGACTTGCGAATAAGGCATGGCATGGCATGGCTGGATGCCTGTATTATCGTGCGTTACTATTGTTCGTCGCTTCTGCATGTTTAATGGTACAATAGTTACAGCATACACTTTGTTAATCTGTGTTGGCACGTCTCATCACTCAAAAATGCTAGCAAAGGATAGCAAAGGAGGGTTTTGTCCCCTTGTGCTTCGATCCCCTTTAAGCCCACCCACCAACCACACCTGTTCCCTCGTCGATGTAGCTACCGTCATCCACCACTTCACCTTGCGGCAGGGCGCTGCTGGCTGTGATTGGGTGTGCGCTTATTCTTCAAGACGTTTGAAGCATGGAGGCTAGCATGGAGGCCCACTTCTCTGTCTGTGGCACAAGCCAGTTAATCTGCTTACTTCTTCTCCGAAAGGTTCCAAACCGTAGGAGTCTTTGGACCAGTCCTTGGCTGGCTGACTGTCTAACCTGCATTGGAGTTGTCCATTCAGCCAGGAAACCAGGAAAACTATAAACACATCTTCCCCAGGCCCCCCGCAAGCTCTTTCGAAACAGAGGTAGGCCACGAGCCCGAAGGAAAATAGACCAAATTACACTCCTGCAAACTAGCATGGAACCTGATGGGACCGCTAGGTTCCATGTGGCTCTCTTCCAGGGGAAGCAAGTTTCCTCCCAACCTTCGCCCCAAGAGTCACGGCGGTCGTTCATACCAAACAGCCGTTTAAGCTATGACACCTGATTTGGGCCACTTTAGATGCGCAGTCGGTAAGTGACAACCTATACAATCCATGGTAGAAAGCTATACATATTACATCATATTACGTGGAGTGAACAGATACATCTAGAACAGCGAACTCGGTCTCACGCGCACCTGTGAGTGGGTCGATCTCTTGTCCGCTCTTGCCGTCCAAGATATGACCTGATCGCAGGCAGGCACCGTTTGAGGCACCCCACTGGCAGGCACCGATCGACGGGACTGGAACGGAGAAGGATCTGCAGCTTTTTCCCAGCGAGGGGGGGGCTGAAGAGCTGCACCGCAGGGTGAACATGAGGTCAAAGACTCTGAAAAGACTCAATATCTTGAATGAGAAAACCCCATGGAGAAGGGGACGCACCAAGTGTCAGGCCCTTTCAGGCTGTTTCAGGGCATGTCTGTCAGATTCTGTAAGTGTTGAGATGCTTGTGCCCTACAAAAGCGTCCAAAGGACCCGAGCCTAGCGCCAGGTTTGACTCCCAGCGCGCGTCCATGACTCCCAACACTTCACAGCAGGTCCATGGCTTTAGCATTGAACACTGACACTTTTCTTCATGGAAACGTGCAGAGGAAAAACAAAAACAACTACCTATAAGTCCTAAGCCATGATCGATGACATATACTAAAATCATGGCTCACAGCCCAGGCACCGCTGTCAGGATCTACCACCACCTCGGCTGTTCGTCTGGCTGCCACGATCTGCAGCTTTGGTGTGGATCTCGACTGACTGACGCTTCCGCTTCTGCTTCCACCAGCGCCCAGTGGAAGCAGGACCACGAAAGAAAACAAGGACGTTGAATGACGTTGAGTCATGTTGGCATGTTGATGAATCAAAACCTCCAAATCATTACAATATTATAACACACACACAGAGACTCCAAAGAGGTCACGAACTGAAGTTCCTGGTGGGTGGAATCATGTTCGCTGTTCATGATTCAACACATATAAGAGAAACAGTGAGAAAGCAAAGAATCTCTCTCTCCCTGACCTCGGATTTTTCGTGTGAGCCGAGGTGAGCCGAGCAACATCTTTCAAGGGATCTTCCTTCTTCTCGCCGTGCACCACCTCACCTTCCTTGCCATGTTCACCTACACGTGTGGGCCCAGCGTGTGGGTCCACCGTGTGCATCGGACGACCGCCGCCATGCCATGGTCGGACGAGTCCGACCTCTGACTCAAGAACGGAAACGAATCGAGAAGCGTGCGCTCCCAAGTTCTCATCTCATGAAAACCCCATGGTTGTTCCAAGCTCATGCAAGGTACCTGGACCTTCAAAGCCCAATGGAGATCGCTAGGTAGTGTAGGGGCTTCCATTGGTGACCCCTTTGAAGGTGCTGGTATATTTTATACGTTATACTTGGCTACATCATCTGCCAAGGCACCAGCATGTTCACCCTCGTGTCCGGTCTCCTGAACGAAGGGGAGAAGCTGCAGCAGTTGATCAGTTCGTGTCTGATGCGGACAGAAACATCTTCAACTACCGCAAAGCTTGCATTGCATGGCATACATGACATCTCAGGTGGCGTTTTCCTGGTTCCAAAGCAGCCTTTGAGGGTCTGAGTCTGTCTCCCCGTCTCCGCGCAATTCGATGGTTTCTCCGCGTCAAAGCCCCTCATATTGTTGAGGTAAACAAGGGCAAACGGGGCACATTTGCACAAGCAGCTTTTGTATCCCATGTTGATCGTCGCCTTGGTCTCGTCTCCATGATTCAAGATCTTCATGGGGTCGTAGTCATCCTCTTCATGCGCCTGGCCGCAACAAATGAATTGCCATGGCCGCAACCGCAAGAGGTGTCTGGGAGCAAAACCATTAGAAGATTTCACAAATATATGTAATGGAACTACCAGGACCTTCAAAGTGACCTTTTGAGATCCCAGGATGAGGTCACTTAGTCCTGTTAAAGGCCACTTAGAGACTTGAAAGAGGTCACTTTGAGGGTCCTCGTAATTGTAATACTATTTGGATGGAACCATTACAAGATTTTACAAGTAACCATTACAAGAGGTGTTTGTACCATTTGGACCTGCAGAAGATTTCACAACTAGTTGCCATCCAGTGCTCCCGAACTCTCTGTGCTTGATCTTGTCGCCCCAGGATAACTTTCTTGGCCAAAACGTAGGGCCCAAGTTGTGCAGGTCAAATCATGACTCTCTCTATGCCTTGATCTTCCAACAAAAAATGATGTGTTCATCTATAGAGCCAGCCAAGTTCGGCAGACATGTTTCATCTGTTGGAAGATCCAGGCATGGTACTGACTCCGAAATGCTCCACAGCCAGGATAAGCTTGGCCTTGCCCTCATCTCCATGCCCGCTCAAAATCTTCGAGGGGTCGTAGTCGTCCTCTTTGTGCTCCTGGTGTGGAGCAAGGCTGGGCCATGCATGTTTATTAACCATGCGTTTTAGACCACTTGTGACTTGTGACCACTCGACATCCCTACACCACACACTTCCCTCAAACACCATCATCTATTGCAGCTTCCGTTGGCAAACACCCACAGCTGTAAGTTGAAGATATTTGCAGAGGTTCCCAACTGATGCGTTTCAGAAATATGCTGCAAAACAACATTTGAGGCATGAACTGACTAGTGAGTGACTAAATATGCTCATTTAGAGACCTTGATTTCAATGGAAAGCACACATGAAACGTCTGAGAAAAACGTCTTCTGAAGACTCACGACACAGGTTCACGTCTTCCATTGTAATTTGTCGACAGCACAGCCGAAGGGATTGAGCTGTGCCCCTTTCTCCACATCAGTGGTTTTGTCAAGGCCCCCTCCATGCTGAAGCAAACAAGGACAAACCCCTGCACTGTCAAGAACAAGGCGCATTTGCACAAGCAGGTCTTGTACTCCCATGCTATGCCTGGCCTTGCCCTCCTCTCCATGATTCAAGATCTTCGAGGGGTCGTAGTCATCCTGCTCTTCGTGCGCCTGCCGTCAACAATGGATGTCTTGCTGAGACCTCTAAAGTTACTCGGGAGCAAAATCATTTCTATACAGACATCGGTCGCCACACCAGCGTTTTACAAATGGTAGCCATCTGATTTTGTCTTGTCACCTCTTAAGTACACTAGTGAGCCCAACTCACACAGGCCCAAAATCACCGAAATGCTTGTCTGAAATGGATTCCATGAGCCTTCCTTTCCGCCGTTGTTCATCCGTTTCCGCGGGAAACGGCTCCCCGGTTGGTTCATCCCGCTCTGGCGCATCGCCCTCCTCGCCTTGCTCGTGTCTTCATGACTCAACAGCTTTGAGGGGTCGTAGTCATCCTCTTTGTGCTCCTGGTGAAGGGGAAACAGCTTGGGCCATGCTTGGCCTTATGGCGCAACAGCAATAAACTGCTCTTGAACAGCTTGGCCACGCGTGTCTCTTCTAGATTCTAGACGAAACACGCTCTGATTTATGCAACTCAACACATGATGTCACAAAGGGGGAGGCCCAAAGACTTGTAAAAGAACACGACGTCTAGTCTAGCGAACTTGGAAGCCACATGAGCTTGTTACAAGGTCCATCCAAAAGCCGGTCAAAATACCTCAGTTCGTGGTATTGTCACCCAGGTTCCTCTACTTGCGCAGGTCACAAGGTTCCCTTCGTGGGCCCAACAGAACCGTCAGGCTCTCTGGTTCTTCCCTCAAAAATCCCATCAGGACTCTCCCAAAATGATTCTCTGGTTCAACTCCATGAATGACACAATATCCTGAGCACAGCTTTGAAGCCTGGATAACTCCTGAGTTTATGATACCCATCCAATGGTCCATCTGACAGTCCAAGCATGTCCAACCGCTTTTAAAGATATTTAGCACCAGGTTGTCTAGCTGTCTACCTGAGACTGAACTCTGATGTATCCCTCCTGAACTAAGCAGCTTAGGGTAAAAATCCCAATGCCACCTCTCGCCCTCTCGCCTTGTGCTCCGAGGCCTTGCTCTCCTCACCTTGCGCAAAACAACAACGGTGATGCAAATCCCGGCCATACATGCTCACTTTGCAACAATTGCTGCTCTACTGCTCTAAAAAGCAATCATAATCCATAAATATCCATAAATAGATTCAATCATTAAATTATCTAAGATACTTCAGCCATACAAAAATATGAGAATCCAACATGTCTTCAGTCTTCAGCTCCCGCTTTTCCAGAAATCCACCCCCCCCCCTGCCTTCGTTGCCATTGAAGAGCGTCACATTTCTCCGCAGCATCGCCGAGGCCTTGGAAGCCACGCCGCTTCCGGTGCTTCCGGTGCTGCTTGGAAGGGTCGCCTCCGGATCCACGGACCACTTGGCCACATCCTCGCGCGAGCGATGGTCCGGGCGGCGGCAGGTGGTTTGGTCCAGGTGTGTGACCGCTCCAGCCGTAGCTCCGAATGACCGGGACCCTTGCACCTGGGCACCCAGTCCTAAGGTAAGAATGGAGCCGAAATTGGGAGTGAGTGCCCAAAGGGAGATCCACTATGATCCACTGAGGTGTGTGGGGGATGTGTATACTGTATATATATATACATCTAGGGCCCAATGAAGGGAAGTGGAACTCCTACCTCTAAAACGTCCCAGTTTGGTGTGCCACCCCGGCGTTCTTTGTTTCCACTGCACAGCTCGACTCATGGAATGAATGGGGGGCAATGGCCGCACCTCAGCAACACGATCCGATAGCCCGGTTGTCTTCCTTTGAACCAGAATCGGTGGTCTCCTCAAATTTGAAGCACCAAAGGAACCTCATCTACAAACCGCAATTTCTACACCTCGCGATGGTGTCGGTTGGGTCCCAGATATATCCCCTGGTAAAAAAAAAAACCAATGTCAAAGTGTATGGTTTTCTCACATTGTGTCCACCAGACTTGAGTGGGGTTGTGGGAGGTGAAACCCTGAACCGGTGTCAGGTAAAACTACTTCTACGATTGTAGTACATCACAAATACGGGTCCACCATCCCACGATTGCGCCCTCACGTCAATACCACTATTCTTTTCTCGCGTAGCGCCTTCGGCGTCTGTTGATAGACGATAGATGCTGCAATTGGCATATGAATACACTGTTCAGAAATTCAAAAATCAAATGAATCTTCCATCATCTCGTTGAGTTCATCGTCATCCGGCCACAAGATCTTCCGCTGCAGCCGCTGCTGTCTCTGAGATCCTATGGGCCTTGAAGGCGTCCGCTCCGGACGACTCACCCTGTGGCTCCTGATCTGGCCGCAAGATCGCAGCCGCTGCAGCCACTGGTGTATCTGAGATCATATGGGATGCACAGGCGTCCGAATCAGCCTGTGGCTCCTTGCCAGGTAATCCGAGAATACCCAGCCCAAGATCAAGCGCCAGTTGGGAATGCAGTTGTGGAGGGAAACGGAACATGAACAAAGCACAAGATTTAACAGTGCATAATGTTGGAAATATAGCCTCAGCGACAAAACATCAGATGTAACACCGCACAGTGTGGGAAGCAATTTCAGTAACAAAAAACTCAACCTTGAGAAGGGCCATTCCAGCAAAAAAGTAAAGTTGCGAAGGGCCAGGCATTCCAGAAAAACACTTTCCAACTTGGAATTTCCAACAACCAAAACATAACGTTGGGAAGGGCCATTCAAAGGAGATTCAATGAACCTCGCTGACCACCTGCGTTACACACTTTTGGGGGGCAATACACCTCCCTTGGATGGCGCTTCGTAACGTTACGTTGTTACCCTTGCACGTTGCTTCCCTGTCCTTGAACAGCTTGTTTGGGCAGTCAACCCAAACAGTTCTCCGATCAATTGCAGCCTGATGACTGGAATGAAAATACTCTGGGGGCCAAAACTGTGGGACTTCATGGTTTGTAGTGAAGATCCTTGGCGTTTGCGCTGGAATGTGTCCGTCAGAGCAACGGTTGTGCACATCGCGTGCGTGAGTCACATCGCACCAAGCTTTCGCATCATCAATGCTCACTGTCCTGAAACAAGCCTCATCGACAACAAGTCCCTCACCTGGGTGCACGGTGATCTTATGCATCTGATCAAGCTTGCTGACAAAGTGGATGCCAGCGCGGCATGTGGACAAAAGCACGGATATAGCCATTTCAGTCTTCCCAGTCCCAGGCGGACCACGCAGGATTAAGGTATGGGTGAGGGATTGGGTCTCCTTCCACTGCAGGACCCGTGGAGGTACATCAAAGTGCTCCAAAGGAAAGCGTGGTGAGGTGATAAGAGTTGAAGCCCCCAAGGTTTCAGGTCGGTGCCACGCAGCCAAGATTTTCTGCACTTCCGCAGCTGGATCCCGAAGCTGCCCCACATGGTCCCAAACCAAAGAGTTGCCACGCATCTTTTCCTCTTTGGCGGCCTGGCGATGAGAGGGAATTATAAACAAAGCACTTTGGGCATGACCACAAAACCCGCGGCATCCCCAACGAAGTGATTGGACCAAACATTGGACTGCCTATGATGCACCTTGTCGTTCCAACCGCGTTGTTTCTACCAAGGAGGATGCTTATCTAAGACTGATATTACGCTTGATGGAAAACAGTCTCCAGATTGTATGTGTGCCAGGCCTTCCATAGCTCTGCCATTGTTGAAATCTTCCTTTCGACAACAAAGTCTGTAAGCTCGCTAAAAGACATGCGCCGGCGTCGTTTCTGCAAGGCCTCCGACGGACCTTTCTGCAGCCCCTCATTCTTCTTTCTGCCAGCCACCTGCGAGGACATCCCTGCAAGCTCGCCATCAGCTTTCTGCTTGGTGTAACTTGACGGATAAAACACAAGGTCACGGTCTAAATCATGCGCTGGTTTCTTTGCGCTCTCCATCATCAGGTAATCCAGATAGGCGCACCAGCCCGCGCGATGAAATGTGAAGAATCCATGGTACCCAAACTCTTCGGCCAACAGCTTGCGAACGCCAGCGTGCACAAACGGAGCTCGAAACAGAAAGATGAGGTGTTTGTGTCTTTCCCGAGAAGCACCATCGGGCTGGTAATGCTTGTGCGGTTCATCCGCCACGGCAGCCTTCACAAGATTGTGCAAGTAACCTTTGCTCTTCAGCGCTTTTGTGAAGGCCTCCAACAGTTTCTCCTTGGAAACATCACAAGGCTTAAGGACCTTTGCTGCTCGTCGATCTTCCAAGTCTTGGAAAAAATGCTGCGGACATGGCCAAGTAAACATACCAGCATATGCCCTCGCTTTAGCTGGTGCATTCTCAGCCTCTGTGGAAGTGTCGCTGTTGCCCAAAGTCACAGATGGTTTTTCCTCCTCATGGCTTGATGAAGAGGACGAAGAGGACGAAGCGGGCGAAGCGGATCCGGAGGACTTCGACGTGGCCATGGCCTTGGACATGATTAGTGATGATTTACAGTTGCGTGCATTATATACAACTACCATCATAGAGTCCTAAACTTGGTGCGTTTTGTTTGGCAGGAACCACAGTTTGAGTAAACTAAAAGTGCGCCAAAGCTTGCGCCTTCCACGAAAAATGAAAGCAAAGGTTCACCAAACGCTGCGCCTGCCACAAAACCTGCACTTCGAGGTTCATAAAGTGCTGCGCCTGCCATGAAATCTGCACTTCGAGGTTCACAAGACGCTGCCCCTCCTACGAAATCTGCACTTAGAGGTTGACAAAGTGCTGCGACTGCCACGAACTCTGCACTTCGAGGTTCTCAAAATGCTGCCCCTCCTGCGAAATCTGCACTTTCAGGTTCACGAAATCTCCACTTCGAACTTCGAGGTTCCCAAAATGCTGTGCCTGCCATGAAATCTGCACTTCGAGGTGTACAAAGCGCTGCGCCTGCCACGAAATCTGCACTTTCAGGTGCACAAAGCGCTGCGCCTGCCACGAAATCTCCACTTGGACGTTCAGAAAGCGCTGCGCCTGCCACGAAATCTGCACCTCGAGGTTCACAAAGCCCTGCGCCTGCCACGACATCGGCACCTCGAGGTTCACAAAGCGCTGCGCCTGCCACGAAATCTCCACTTTCAGCACAGCCAGCGCGGCCAAAATCGGAGTACTCCCCACACGAAAACGCAAATCATAACGTTGGAATCCAACGTTACGATCCGTTTTCGGCGACAGTTTCACAAAAAAGTGCAAATCATAACGTTGGACTCGGTTCAAAAAAGAGAATTACTATAATCTTTTTCAAACGCGTCCAACGTTACGATTTCGACTTTTGTCCCACGCCTGCCACGTAAAACGAGCATAACGTTGGATTCCAACGTTACGATTCAGCGTCTGGCCACACGTTGGGCCACCTGGAGCTTCAAATTCCGTGCGCCGGCCACGAAACATGAAAGCAGGTTTTCACCAAACGCTGCGCCTGCCACCAAAAATCGAACTAGAAGTTTAAGAAATGCTGTGCTTGCCACGAAAAATGGAACAAGAAGTTCACTAAATGCTGCGCCTGCCACGACAAATGGCAACAGAGGTTCACCAAAAGCTGCGCCTGCCACGAAAAGTGGAACTAAAGTTTACCAAACGCTGCGCCTGCCCCGAAAAATCGAATCAGAGGTTCAACAAATGCTGCGCCTGCCACGAAAAGTGGAACTAGAAGCTTACCAAATGCTGCGCTTGCCGCAAAAAATGGAAACAGAGGTTCACCAAATGCTGCACCTGCCACGAAAAGTGGAGCTAGAAGTTTAACAAACGCTGCGCCTGCCCCGAAAAATCGAATCAGAGGTTCACCAAATGCTGCGCATGCCACGCAAAGAGGTCCCCTGTGCGTGCCACGAAAACTGATTCCACAAGTAGCGCACGCATTGACGGTACCTATGGGACACTATGCAAGAGGTTAAAGGAAATGAGTGTGTTTTGCATTTTCTACACATCACTTGTGACACTGCGGTTCCTCTTCGACTATTGAGTGAAAAATGGAAGTTCTCTGTTTTGAGATGGAGCTGATCATTTCAATATGTTGTGACTGAGCCACATGATGATCGAATCAGACAGAGGTTCAGCAAGGTGACGGCTTCCAAGCTCTGTTCCTGAGGTCGCCCGGCGCGCAAAAGCACGCTCGAACGCAACTTCCAAACTCCCCCAAAGTGCGGACACCGCACGGCACTGAGAAGGCCGAGGTTAATGCGAATGAAAGTTTGGATCCATGTGTCCAGTGTGCATATCAATCGGACCCCAGCAGCCGAAAACCGAAACCATGGGGGTATCTAACACTGAAGGCAACGCCAACATGCCCCACCGCGTCGCCCAACACGCCGAGCGGCCACCTGCATGACAAACGCCGCAAGGTCCAAGCCGAAGGTCAAAGCCTGCAGGTTTGCTCTGCAAGGCGACGGCTTCCAAGCAGCCTGTTCCTGAGGTCACACCGGCGCGCGACAGCACGCCCA